GCATGGTCACTAAAGCAGCCTTATGCGTCCAGTATTAAAAAGTTGCCACGTTGAGGATTTTTGCAAAATTAACGAGGAAAATTCGTGATGAGTGCGAGTTTTTACGCTTTCCAAAGCCATAACTCCGTTCAAACTCATGCAATCTGGAAAGTTAATACGTCATCATAAACTAGAAGATTTGCTCTATTAAGGCACTAAAACTGCTAAATACGTCCACTATTTAAAAAATGGCCACGTTGAGGATTTTTGCCCGAGTACCGCCGAAAGGTACTTTTTCGCTGCATTGGCACTATTTCAACGACTATAGCTCCTTTCAGGGGCGATTATATACTGAAGTAGGAGCAGATTCGGAATCCTCGTGCTTTTCTCTTCCAAGAAGTGTAAAATTGTTTAGCGTATCTCAACTTTAAAGGTTACATGCTTATGAATTTGACGCTGAAGGCTGCGTTTCTTGTTGAATAGTGTACTCCTCCCTGTAATTTCACATGAACCCTTTCAGAATCCTCTTGATTTTTCCTGAATTGAGATTCTTTCTCCAGAGAGCCGTAGTTGAAGCGCGCGCAACCAACTGGGCCCACTCTGGGATGCGCCGTGTGCTTCACATCCTTCAGATTTGAGGACTCACTTGAAAGATAAAATATCCCTTGGAAAACGTGCGAATTTCGGATTCTTTAACTTGTGTGGTGATAAAACACTGAAGTAACTAAGAATTGCTAAGCGGACACCTCTGAATCACGAAGATTTTGTGTGGGCGGAATCAATTGTTATTGGAAATCCTCTGGCCTGGCATCGACTCGATCCTTGATGTTTGTCCTCCGACGATGATCCTACTGCATCAATCGGGCCCGATCTCTTCCCCAGCGGGCCAATACGACCCCCCCCCCCCTGTGACGTGTCGAGGATTCCTCAACGCACGCTTGACCCTGGGTCCAGTACAATGTGCATGACTGGTGTACCTTTAGAATTAGGCTCGCGCAGCATGCAATTCTACTCCTCAAATGTTGCAACCAGGTGAGACAGTCATCTACAAGGGAAGGATACCAGGTCGAAGTGGCCATTTGTAACGAGACATACACCACTAGATGTGTTTTTGGACGCTGATCTCGAATCTGCTCTCCAAATCTGCGAAACGATTCTCTGAACGTAGTTATGAAGCGAGATAGTGCAGTGGCAGCGGCCCGGCCGACGAACAAGAGGTCGTGAGATCGAGTTCTTGGCGAGTTCTCACTTTTGCTTTTCTTGTGAACGTTGTTTAAGGGACTCTTATCCATGCTAAGTTATCAGCGATTGCCTATAGCACAAGTAAACAGAGCTGGCGAAGAGCTTCGAGCACTGTGCGCGTCATTTGCAAGTGACCGCCTCTGACACCCGTAGCGCACGCGTAAGGCAATTTCGTGCCAAGCAGATGCGATATTCGTGTTCAGCGCGTCGAAACACCCCTTTCAACAACATTTGGTCCAAATCTAAAATTTTGACTTGAAGTCGAAAATGTGGGCAGTCATCTATCCATCAACCCACTGTCAGAGCCTGATCGTGGGATTGAATTAAACTTTCAGTCATTATTGTGAAAGAGATATAGTTGCCTGCTCTACTTGCTCGTGCCATCCGAAGATTAATATGATATTTTTCATGTACACGCTCGCTGCCCAGGATACAGAGGCGAATGCTATACGAGAAAG